GGTGGAGAAAAGTATTCTCTCCTAAAAAGCCAGTTGTTCTGTTTCTCCACAAGATGTGACATTTTAAGATGATCTGCCCATCAAATCTGAGCATATTCAGTCAAACTGGACAGTTTCTTGCAAACTCTGCAGGCTTTTGACTCTCTTAGCTTTTCAGGGATTTACATTTGTATTTAAACACCTGCTAAGCTTTCTAAAGAAAGGATTTGCTTAATTATTTCACATTTTGATATTTCCAGATCTGAAACAGAGCTACCTGTCTTGATGTTCAGTGAGCCCCCAGAATCCCTTTAAAGTTTCAAGAACTTCTTGTCTGTTCCAAGGAAGTTGAGGGAGCCCAAAATGCCCTTTGCCACTAATAAGAAGCCATAACATTCAGCTGTCACCGATGTAGCAGCCTGACCCTGGAGCTAGTCTTCACAATCTTCTCCACAACCTCTGCCAGTTTTATTCAAAACTGGTTCACTTCATTATTTTTTTTTGCAGTCCTAGGCTTAGCAATTCTTCATGAACAATGTCCTGGTTTGCAGGACCCACGGCTTCTCACCAAACAAACTGGCAAGAAAGTAAGCAGATTCTGTATTTCAAGAAGTGAACTGAAACATGCTGTTTCTTTATAGATTGGGGTTTTACAGTGAAATCTTATTGTTTCAAATGCTTGAAATTTTGTGACCATCTCACGAATAGATTTCATTACTCATGGGTGAGATGGGATGACTTTTGTCTGGTAGAAATTCAAGGTGGCTTTAAGCAGAGGAAACCTTTGCACAGAATCTAGCTCTATGCAAAAAAGGAGACATAAAAGCCTCTGCTATCAGCCAGGAAACACACCCAGTGTGTCAGGACACACAGAAAGTATTTGTGTCCAAGGGAAGAGCGTAGTGACACGCTACCCAGCAGTGAGAGCCAACTGAGGATAACATTACTAACACACACCAGATTTGATAATGTATTTTCAAGCTTAGAGCACAATGAACAGACACCACTTCTGCCTGCCTAAAGCTGTCCTTGACAAGGAATTGCTCTGCAATCTATCTTTTGACAGAATTCAACATCACCTTCTGCTCATTTTGCCAACCTGTTCAGTCCAAAACAGCAAATCCAATTCTTGGTAGAGGCTTCCTGCTTGTTAGAGAGTGCCTCGAACTAAAAACTTCCATAGTATTGAACCACTGTTTTTAGGAACATAAATGTTAAGAGTATTACAATGCATATTTCATGGTAAGCAGATGTAAAGGATGAAAAAACTTCACATGACAGCGGCCATCTCCAGGAATAATAAGCAAACAATTTTCACAGGTTCTCAAGACCACAGAATGGGCAGTAGTTCTGCTTTCTAAAAGGCAACACACATTCCTGGTTGTACTAGTTCAATCTGTCCAACTACTGCTTTGGGGGAAGCAGGGAAGATTTAGAAAGAGAGGAAAATATTGTCACAATGAATGTGGTGCTGTGACACTTCAATCTTCTGGTCCAGGTTGTGGATAATGCATCTCAAATTAAACAGGATTTTCTCTGAGAAAAAGAGATTGAACTCCTTCACTGCAGGAGAAACTTATTTTCGCTGTCTGATCATCTAATTTGACCCTCTGAATAACAAGGCATGGGAACTTCCTGGAGCAATTCCTGCTTCAGATATATAATCTGTGCTTGAAAGATACTCTGTTTTATATATCCGTATATATACACACACATAAAACAAATAGATACCATACAAACCCAATCATCCTTTTAAAGCTTTCAGTGGTAGAATAATAATAATAATCCCATCAATCATCCCTATTCTTAAAACTCTGCATCTGATTTCTGGATTACAGGTGTGTAGCTTCCCTTTCCAGCCACTGATTTTTTTTCTGTCCCTTTCTATTAGCCTCAGTGATCCTGTATCAAAAGGGGCAGTTTTCCATGGAATTACACAAACTATGATCAAGTCTTAAACTTCTCCAGAACTACTTCAAAATTCCCCTTGGTCTAACATTCTGTCATCATCAATGATCAGCAAAAGAAGCTGTGCTCTTACCATCAATATGACTGGTACTGAGAGATTATTTCCCACCAACTTCTGAAGTCTATCCAAACGTGTGAACACATACAAGTCCAGAGCAACAGTACATTCTCCTGTGTATGTCTATTCATTGTAGAACACTGCTTCTATATTGTTTTAAGTGTAGAATTTCTGACATAAGAAAAATAGAGCATATGTAAATTTTTTTTTTTAAAAAAAGTCATATGAATGCAAATATTTTGCTATTTTTCAGATAAGATGTCTCAGAACACCAAATACAAGACCCAGTTGTTAAAGACATCCTAAAAGGTTGTCTAACACTCTGGAAGACTTTGCAACTGAAAATAAACTGATCAAGAGTTATACATGTACTTTCAGTGTTTTAAGTGCTAGGGACCTAAAATCCAGTTGGGTCAACCATTAGATGGTTATTCTGTATCATTCTGAATCTCAATTAAAAACAAGTTTCTACACAAAATACACAGAAAGAAATTAAGCTTAAAAGTCTATTATCGTACACAATATGATTAACTAAATCTTATTTGAACAAGTTAGTCCCTAAATCTTCAAAACTGAGTTGCAAAATCTCTTACGCCTTTCCATCAGGCATGGAAATTGCCTTTTTGAAGCTCTGCAGACTTCTGTGAGATTATTATTGTATACTGTGAATCTCCTGTTTTGTGAAGGCACCATATACGCGATTTCAAAAGACTCACTTAATTACAAACGACTATTTGTTTGTAGACTGTTCTGTGAAACAAAAAACTCATTCCATTTAACATCGTGTACAAAGAAGACAGATATAGCTTGGTAATCTTCAGCAGACTGATAGATTTGTGATAGAATTAACAACAAACTGAGCTTTCAGATTAGTTTTTCATTTTCTTTAATGTGAGACACTACAGAACTTTGAACTATGAAATGAATACATTCTTGATGGATTTGTTTCTGGAAGACCTAAAAGCACATCTCTGTATCAGTGAGATAGTCATTAGGTGTGGAATAGCACCATGTGATACTTTTTGGGCACTATATGGATTTCAAATTTTATTCTTCTCCTCAAAGGTTTTCTCTGTGTCTGAATCAAACTCCATTACTAAGGTCGTACAAATGCTACCATTTAATCCAGTAAATATCATGCTGGTAAAATAATGCTTTTTGAGTATTTATACAAATATTCTCAGAACAGAAGAAAATGCGGCCTCTGCAGAAGCATAACTTTTTTGCATTTTGCAGAGCCAAAAAATGTTGGCTCCTGAAACAGAAGCATAGGTGAATTGAAACCACAGTCACAGGAATAGCACAAAACTTACTTTATGGGTATAAATCAGACTTTCATTCTTGTGTCGTACTTTCACTAACAGTAAATAAGGTAAATGTCATGTTTTAAGTACAATTCTTGGCTCTACACTAACAAGGCAAATACACCTACATTAATTATGCAACATTTCCATCCATCTCCTTATAAAACAAGTTACCCAACAAACAGAAACAACTCAAATGCTTTCTATATAAAAGTATAAAACTTTATTATATTATTACTTCTCCTCTTTATTTCCAAACTGTTACTACCACATGCACTTATATATTAAAATGCTCTTGGCAAATAGCAAAATAATGTTTTTTTTGCTTGAAACTAAGTTGCTTATCCTCCTGGACTTATGACAGGGCCCAGTAGGAGCTTCAGATCAGAGGCAAACACTTTATATTTGGTGTTTGGTGTTTCTTCGCAAACAATATGTGTATCTTTATGTAAGATACACAGATAATGAAGCAAGTGGAGCACACCTCACATAAACTTACAAGTTTGCAGAAGTTTAGGGCTACATTGGAAGCAGTCTCCTGATTATCCTTTTTGCATCCTTAAACTGCCTTTAAAGAAGCAGTTGCAGGGATCACTTCATCTGCTCCTTGTAGCCATAGGTGCTTCAGAATCTGTCACATGCCGTACAAACACGTAGGCATTTCCATCTTAAAAACCAGGCAGTAGAGGTTTAATTAGCAGAAATCAATTTGTACTTGCCTGCAGAAATGCAGATAGCTATAATTATTACATATAACCTATAATAATACATCAAAGGAGTTGACACGCTATAGAGGACACGTAAATTGGGCAGCTGACAGGAGGGAGCATTCAGGGTAAGTTTCAGTGAACTGAGAGGACTTAAAATCCATGTTTTTCATCACAACTTCTGACGTTAGCACCTTTGCTCCTGTGCAAATGAAACAACTTTTTCATATACAAATGAAAGTAGGGTTGTTTTTTTTTTTAAACTAAACTCACATATCAAAGACATTTAGGAAGTAAGCATTCAGCGTTTCCTAATTACAGGCTTTTGGGGCAGCCGAGTATTTTTTTGAAGTGACTGAGGCTCACATTCTCGGGGATAAAAAAAAAAAAAAGTGTAAAACTCTCCTAAGTCTGAGCACCCCCCAACAGGCCGAGGTGCCCGCCGGCTCCTGATGGCTCCAGACCGGAGATCAGAGCCGCTCCACGGAGCCTGTGAAGCCCAGAACCCGCGGCCCGGCTCCCTCAGCGCCCGCCGGGCCCAGCCACCGGACGGGACCCTGAGGGGACCGGCCTGACGCGACAAGGCCCCGGGGGCGTGGAGCACCGCTGGGGGCCGGCGACAACCCGCCTCCTTCTGCTGCAGCCGGAGAGTCTCTCGGGGACGTTTCACCCCGGCGCCAGCCCTGCCTGCAGGCGGGGAGGCCACAGAACCGTCCCGGGCCGGGAGCACCCGCCATGCCCGGGACCCCCCCCCCGCCCGCTTCCCCGCGCCGCA